ATGAAGGCAATTTCACAGCAGCACCAGAAGCCTCAGCTTGCCAGTGAGCCCCAGGACCTGACCTCACTGTCAGTGGGAACTGGCACCCTCGGCCTCTTGTGTCCCCCAAACTACTCCCCTCTAGCAGGACAAGAAGCAAAAACACAGGCCGCAGGCAAGAGTCATACTTTCTTAATCAGTGGTGCAGGTACAGCTTCTTTAGCTCAGGTTTGTTAGGGTGTTTGTGCTTGTTTGAGCCTGCTGGGCTCTCCCATGGGTTGAGCACTCTCCAGCTGCTTGCTGTGCAGCACAGCACCCTGCTCCCACTGCTCATGTCTGGAAAGCACTCCCATCTGCCAGCCTAGTCACTGCCTCCTGAGAGAGACGGCAAGGAGCATCCTCCTCCAGTCTGGAGCCTCTCTGCCAGACACGCTGGACACAACCAACCCTCTGACAGTGAAGTGCCCCAGCCCCCAAAGCTGGAGCGAGGGTAGCTCCAGGAGCAGGGGATGTCCTGCTGCATCTGACCTGCTCCCTGGGGCGATGAGGCTGTAAGAGCAATGAGGGAGCCAACCATGAGTGCCTCTGTTGTGCTAACCCAGCTGTCCCAATGGCCAGCCATGTAGAGAAGACTTTTGGCAACTAGCACTCAGGTTGCTGCAATGCCTTTGTCAGTGCCAGCTTCTCAAGAGCAGCAAAACCTAGGTTGCTAAAAGGAAAAAACAATTTTTTTAAGTTAATTGCACAGGGCCCCTAAAGCCATGCCCCAACACCCGGCAGCTGGAGCAGAAGGCCAGTCTCCATCATGTCCCTTCCCAGTTCACTGTCACTCTGCAAGTCATCTTGGTCATCTGCCAGTGCCATGGGGGCCCTGCGGGTGCCCCAGGGGCTGCAGCGTGTGTCGCAGGTGCCCCGAGAGCTGTGATGTGTGTCACATAGGGACGACCCATCCTACTCACAGTCTTGGGGCTTGTGGCAATGCCCCAGCAGCTGGTGACACCAGGGTCACCCACCTCTCAGTGGGCGCCCAGCATGACTCTGTGCCATCCACCCAAACTGGTCCAACAGAAACCACAGAGACTGCTGCCAGCTGCGTGTTGTCACTGCTGTGAGGCAGGCGTGGGGGCCAGGCACCCTCCCTGCCCCTCGCAGTGAGAAGCACCCATGGACTGCCCTGCCTGAGACAGCACAGGGCGGAAACAAGGTCCTTGTCATGTGTGAAGGCTGAGGAAAGCAGCTGGTCTGTGCCCATGTCCATACCGCTGCAGCCCCTCATTCTCCTCAGGGTAGGCCTTCAGGACAGCATGCCTGCTGCAACTGAGAGGGTCGTGGTGGTGGCATGCTAGTGGTCTGGCAGAGCTCATCCCTGCTCCAGAGAGGGATAAAGTCCCTTCATGGACCTGTAGACAAGTATTTGCATCAGGCCTTGCAAAACTGGGCAGCTTAAGCCTAGAGATTCAGACCAGGACTGATTTTAGCAGGCATTTTCCAGCCTCCCACCTCCCTGACTTGCTCCCTAGAAAATGCACAATCCATCCAAATCTCTGGAAGGGCATCCACTCCTCTTCACATCCCTCTTGCACACCAGGGGTAGAGAATGGTTCTGCATATCTTCTCTACCCTCTTCCCTGCTTCTCACCAGTGCCAGAGCCCATGTTTTCCTGGGCTGGGCACAGCGGGCAGCTCACACATGTAATGCCCTGCCGGCTCTCTCTGCATGCTAGGGCACGCTCTGCCTACAAGCAATTGCTGCACAGCTGAAAAGCCTCCTGGCAAGGAACTGCACATATCAGCGCCTGGTTTAGTCACTTCAAAACAATCTGGTTAGTAAGAGGGGGAGAACGGAGGAAGACTCTACCCCAGGCAGAGACTGCACATGGAAATACCGATGAGATGACACTGTTCTCTGAGAAATATTGGAACAACTGGAGGAGCAATAAAACACCGCATTTTCCACCCACATGGCTGTATCCCATGGACAAAGAAAAGGCAGGGATCTTACTGGAAGTCATATCTGATACCTATCTGTCTGGCCTGGATCAATTCTGATTATGAGGAGAGAAAGGCTGAACCCTGCCCACTAAAATAAAAAGAAAATGTATGAAGGGGATTGCAACTGAGGCAGCTGCTGCTCCAGTAACAAGGGCAGCAAGGAGCCACCTATACCTACTTTTTCCTCTTCGCCCTGCCCAGGGCATGATCTGGGTGAACACTGTGTGCCACTGGCTCTTGGCTGCAGCTGCTGTTGCTGCTCACCCGGTGAAAAACTGATCAGATCAGTGATTCACTCATTCAGTGATTCCTGGGTTTTGAGATATCCAGCAAACACAATTGTTTGCTGCACCCTGCAGAGCAACTTATTTCTCACACTGTTCTGGAGCAAGTGGGTTTTGCAGGTAAGAATCTCATCTGATTAGCTGCAAGAGTTGTCCTGTGAGTCACTACTGGCTCGTTAGGAAATTTCTCTAACTGAATGGAAGCCCAAAAATTCTGTAAAGCTTTGTTTCCAGCCATGTTTTTTGGGTCAGTAGCCAGAAAACTCCAGCACATTAGGAAAAAAATACTGGAAAAGAAAACAGAAGATGGGTTTTGCAGTTTTCCATTGCATTGGTGTGTTCAGGGGGAGAAATGAAGGTTTTGCTTTCTGATAATTGCCTTGTGGGGGTGTCTCTGGAAAGCCCACATTTTTTAACTCACATACTTAAAAAAAGAAAAAATACCTGCTTAATGTCCAGACAAGAGGTGCTGATACTCAGCCTCGTTTTCAAGAAGCAAAACATGGCAAAATCCAGGAGAGATACAGGCATGCAAAAAAGGCAGTATGAACAAGTCAGAAAAGCTGAATTATATCCTATTCTCTCCTGATGACTTAACAAATTGCTTCCCTCCTGTCCTCTTCATTTTTTTTCCAGCCTGTCTCCTTGCAGTGCTAGAGTGACAACACTGGGCCAGGATGACCACAAACTAGGTGTCCAATGCCCCTTACAAAGTGACTGCAGTCAACATGTTGCCATAGTGCGAGTACTGGATGATATTCAAGCCTGTGCAAGAGGGGTCCAGAGGAGTGGGGTGCTGAACACGGGCTGCAGCTGCCAACTGCTTGCTGCAGTGCCACAGTATCATAAAAAATTGTCAAATGCACATTACAAAAGCTGTGTTTTTTCCTCCCTCTAGGGAGGAAAACCCTGTGATGGGCCTGGGTGCACCCTGCATTTTGTTTCTATTTAATCTAATCCTCCTGACAAAGGGACAACCTCTGGGGCCAGGATCTCCTCATACCAGCTGAGGCATACCAAACTCCAGCAGTACTTTGGCCCTCTCCCAGGAAGAGAAATGGGGCCTAAAAGGCTTCAGGATCAGAAAAGCATTAGCATTTGCCAAACACATGTAGACAGATTTGTGATGTGACTTTTGCACTGTTACTGCAGGACTCCCAGCACCTCTGAAGCCATTTCAGTGGCATGTCTCAGCCTGAACCACATCACTGCTAGCGCTCCCAGTGCAAGTCTGGGCCGGGTTCACAGGTTAAGGGAAAAGGTTTTTTCCACATTAAAGACTTTCTCTCTATTGACAGCAATAAACAAGGGAAGAGAGGAGCTGATCCTGTTCCCGCAGGACAGGTTACTCACATTTTGCAATGCTTGGGGCACATGCATGGAAGAAAATAAAAGACAGCATACAAACATAAGAAAATCTTTCTGAGCCAGAATATTTTCTCATCTGTCCTGTCTCCAAGGGTGGCCAAGAGCAGGTGCCAGAGCAGAGCATAGGCATGGGGCAGGTAAGTAGCAATACCCACCAGAGCTCCTCCAAGTACACATAGCAGTTACGCAATTCAGGGCCTCTGCTTGGACCTCCCACACAGAGTTCAAAGTCCAGGGCTGTGTCCTGCTGCAAGGGTCTGCTCCAGCCCCCTTGAATGCACCCAGATCCCTCCATCCACGGCTGCTGGAGCCATCCCATCGGATACATCCTCCAACCTGCTTATCCCCACCCATCGCTACCCATGCTCTTGTTGCTTAGCACCAGAGATAAACAGGACATATCCCTTGGCTGGGTGCCTTCCCAAGGCATGCAGGATCAAGTCTTCTCCCAAAATCATCCTCTGGCAGCCACTGAACAGCAGCACTTGGTTGATCAGGCAGAGTAGCTATCCCTGTAGCAAAAAGAATTTCTTGATCACATCATCCTGCTAGGAAAATTGGCACAGGTTTGCATACACTTTGGTGCAGATCTCTTTGCAATCCCCTTGCCTTGGCCCAGGTTTCCCCCTACATCGCAAAACCACTCCCATCTTCAGGATAGTTTTGGATCATTGCTAAACATATGGCAGGTTTCTTGCCTGGGTTTGTCCAGCCACTTCTCCCCAGGGGCTCCCTGCCCCTGGCTCCAGCCAGCTCAACAGTTTTTTGCATTCAGTGCTAGTTTTCCTTTTGCTCTGGCAGATAAACTCAGCCATTGCACCCCATACTCAGTTTCTCATGAGCCATTTCTCCAGCTCCTCTGATTTTTCAGCATCCCCTTCCAGCTGTCTGTGAGCTGAGAGAAACTCAACTCCTCCCCACCCCACAATATGTCTCTTTTAAAGCTGCTGTCTAATGCTTCCAGCCCACCCCACTGGGAGCTGCAGGCTCCCAGGCACTTTAACAAAGGAGAGTATAGATCTTTGGCAGAAGAGGGTGCCCTGCCCTCCTCCCCTTCTCCAGCCAGGCTCCTGCCCTGTGCCTCTGAGGGCACTTATACTGCAGCAGCAGGTCAGATCCAGGACCCAGCCTACCCCTTTACCCAGCCTGGCAGGATCACAGGACTGACAAAAGCAACAGCAGAATCAGGAGCCTTAAACCTGGACAAATCCTCTGCAGACGACTAAAGTGAGATGAGAAGCCAGCCCTGCACAGCAGTGACTGCTGCTGTGCTCCATCAGCAAAGCCATGAGTGGGGCTCCCCACAGCCGGGGAGCAGGTGGCAGCCTGGCTGAGGGGGCAGCGGTGGGGGTCCCAGGGTCCTCAGAGGGGCAGGCAAGCTTGGCTGGAGCCCAAATGAACGTCTGAGCGCAATTTCCGCCGCACCCTGCCTTCACCCTTCCTGCACCCTGTAGGAAACAGCCCCAGCAGCCCTCACCCGGGGCCTGCAGGACGGCATCCACCAGCCCGGAGCGTGGCAGGACGAGCCACGACGGCTCCCGGTGCCACCCGTCCGGAGAGCCCTGCAGCACGTACAACCATGCGTTGAGCACTGCCAAAGAGAGTGGATGCCAAACCTGAATTACCAGCCCAGAGAGTGGCTGTGGATCCCGGGAGCTCCTGTGATTTGTGGCAGGTTTTTCAGGTCCCCGCCTGTCACACACACGCAGATACTTAAGCAGTCACCCAAAGACCTGCAGGGTTCTTGTTCTACACACTTCTGGTCTCTGACAACTCCAGGTAAGTGCAGGCTTTGAGCTGGGGGTGCTGGGGTAGATTTGCAGTTGGGGATGGTGGGGAAGGAGGGATGGAGGGAGGGGGTGACCTGCGCTTACTGATGCTGGGGAGGTTGGAGCAGCACTTGGCAGGGCTGTGGAGGGAAAGCTTCATGCCTGGGGCAGGGAGAGGGTCATGAAGGCAGCCAGAGACCCCAGGCTGGGGGTACCACAGGGACCTCCCTCTGCTTCAGCAGCTGCTGTGCTCTTGTTTGCTTTGTTCCCGTCTGATATTATCTTCTAAAAGGCTGAACGGGTAGTTTACCGGATGCATGACAGGTGGTTTTTCCTTATTTATGGCAGGGTCTGTTTTATTTTTAAAGCCTCCGTCCCACCTTATCCTGTGCGCCATGCCGGCTGATGTTATCCACAGCCACCCCACAGCAGGAGTCCTGCGAAAAGCTTGGGACAGGACATGGCTCTGCGGCAAAGCAAGGGAGGGCAGGAGGGCTCCTTTGCATTGAGAACTGCTATTTTAATCCCTGCAGTGGCAGGAAATAGCTGCAAGCTAAAGCCAGATGCAGATGCATCCCAGCCCTAACAGTGGGGAGAGCACTGGGGAAGGGATCAAGAAGCCCAGCAGGGGCTATGGGGCCCCATCAGCTGGGCAAGAGCTATGCTTAGAGTTTTCCAGGGGCTTCAGGTGCAGTAAATTGTTAGAAGGCTCCACAGACAGACAGCTATTGTGCTTGCCATTCAAAAAAGCAAAGCTGAGCAAACAGAGATCATGTCTTTTCTGGAAAAGTGGCTGCTTTCTGCCAGGATAGTCAGTGCTGACTGCACTAGCGGAGGGATATATCCTCTCCTGTCTCTGGCCAGAGCTGGGAGCCCTGCTAGTAACCTCAGGGTGTCTCTGGGGAGCTGGGTGCAACCACAGGACATGGGCAGTGTAATTGTGGAGGGAGGTCTCTCTCCACCTCACTGATCCTACCTCACATCTAGGTCAGATCACTCAGTCCAGCTGATTTTTAGAGATCACCAAGGATGGAGATGCCGCCACCTCTCTGGTCCCTGTCTCCATGTTGGACTACCCCACACTGTGAAGATTTTTTTCCCAACATCTAATAAGACTTTCTCTTGCTGCAACTTGTGTCCATCAGCCATTGCCTTTTTCCTGCTCACTCCAAAATGGCTCTGGAGGTGCATTTAAATGGCCCATTAGCCACACTAAGAGCACCAGGTGCTGCTTGCACAGCCTCCACGTACACAGCAATGCTGCTGGAGCCATCCACAGCCCAGGCAACCCACAAACCCCTTGCAAGCTTCAGCTGGTGGCTGCTCTCACATCGCTCCACCTAAAACCAAGACAGTTAGTCAGAGCCAAGTGTGAATTCCCCAGCTTGACACATAGGACAGAGCAGGTGTCACCAGTGCTGTGGTTTCACTGTGACAGTGCATCTGGCATTGTCATTTCCGCCTGGGTGAGTAACCCCCCGCCACTGAACTCTCATCCCTGTGCTGCCCAGGGGAGACAGCAGTGGGCATGGCACTGTTCACAGGGCTGAATGATGACCACAGGCCCCCAGCCCTTCTGAAAGCCAAACAGATGATTTAACACCCATTGCACTGAAAAAGCCATTTTTTTCCAATGCCAGCAAAAATTTAAGCAGAAAAAAGCAGTGAGCAGTGATGCTTTTCAGAGCTGAGCAAAACAGTTGTGATTCTCCATTTTTCTGCCAGAAAGAAATGTAAGCAAGGAAATCACCTCTCCTGTACAGGGGAGAGGTCCTGTGCAGCCTGAAAAGCAGGCTCCAGGCCTGGGCTTAAACAGGGCTCCATTTAAGTAGCAGGTAGGTGAGTAGTGGTCCAGATACAGCCAATCAGGACATTTAGAGACTCCTGGTGCCCTGAAGTCCTGTCATATAGCCCAAATCTTTAGCACCTGAGAGGCACCAAGTGCTGGGTGCCACAAGCTGCACAGAGCCGCATGACTCCTGCAAACTTCCAGGGCCCAGTGGAGCATTGTGGGGAGACCTGCAGAGCCCTCCAGGACCCCCAGGGTTTTCACCCTTTTCTAAAAGCCTTCTCACAGCCTTTGAGAGGTAGGAACTGTTCTTCCTCCAGAGCAGGGGTAGAGGGGAGACAAGGAAAGACCATGAGGTATCACATCCTCCATGCTGGTGCACCCTGAACTGCTAGAAAGTAGAAGATACTGTGTCCTACGGGGAAATGCCTCAGGAATCAAGAAATTATCAGAAATAGAAACAGCTATGCAGATGAAACATGAAAGTTGAACCTCATGTTCCTCATGCAAATCAATGCACACAAATGAATGTACATTAATGCAGCATGCTGCAAACGATGATTTATGGATCACCAGGACATGTTGCTCCTGGTGGCCCAGGCTAGATGGGTGATCCAGAGGTGATGAGGAACCTTGTGGTGACTGGGCTTTCTAGGAGAAGGGCAGGTCACTTGGTGGGGTGCTGAACAAGGAGGAATTGAAGGACTTGAGCCTGGCCTCATCTACACTTTGACCTCATGGAGAGCCTGACAGCCACAGTGTTGGAGAGCAGCACCTCAAATCCAGGGGATTTCTTTCTCCCCCTGCATCTTTTCTAGAGGTCTCCAAATGCCCAAGAAGGTGAGCAGCATTCACCTGGCCCCCACCAGCTCACCCACATTAGGGACTGAACTTTGTCTGTCCCCTTCCTATATGGACAGGTCTGAACTGAACCGATTCCAGGAAAGTCCAGACAACTGCTGCCACACACCCATGGCAGACACGGCCAACTCAGTCTGCAGCACCTGGAGTTAAAGATGGTCTTTCCCTAGTCTGTCCAGGCGTGATAGATGATGCTGTCTACCAGCACACTCCATAGTGCTCAGAGGTCCTCCAGCCTTATGCAACCACTGTGTTACAATCACTATTTACCAAGTGACTCAAGCAGAGTGGGCTGTTTCACAACCAGCCCTGGTCTATTTATAAGCCCCTACTCAAATGCCAAAGCATCCTTTTATTAGTCAATGTATCTCCTACAGACAAGTCTCAGTGGGGTCTTTGCTTTTTGGGATAAAGCTCAAAGAAGAGGATCTCTCCAGCCTTTCATGGATAGCAGAGTTGGCACTCTGTAAGCTGCAAGGCAGTTTTGGAGCTGAGCCCCATCCCAGCAGTGCTGTCAGCAGGTGAGAGCCCTGGGGCATTCAGTATGCTCCAGGGTACCAAGTGGGTGAAGGTGAGTTATCTGTCAACCAGGAAAGCAGTTGGGTTTAAAGCTACGCAGTAGGAGTGCAGCATAATGGAGGTGCCTGGGTTACACCCCAGAACCAAAGGGAGAAGCTGGACTGCAAGGTAGAGGCAGGGCAGGTCTGCAGCCAGTGGCCCAGAGGAGTCCCAAAGCAGGCCAAGGGCTTCTGGCAGCGTGGACAGCCAGTAACACCGACCAAGCCACCTGACAGAGATGGCCAGGCAACTTGGGCCAGGCAACTCGGACAGCAGGAGAGCAGATCAAGAAAGGCCACATTTTTGCATCCAGCTCCTCCCCTGCCAACACCCCACAGCTTGGTTTCGGAAACACTGAAATGATTCAGCATCAAGGGACATCTGCATGCTTTTGGTGGCAATGCCTCGTATTTGAGTTGACCAAATTGGCAGGCTTGACCCTCTGCCATGCAGGAGCAAACTTGGAGCCCTGCAGAAGAGAGGTGTGGGACTTACCCAAGGTGTACTTACTGGTTTTGCTTGTGCTTTTGTGCCAAGTCTGCCAGAGATTCGTGCAAAGTGCAAGTGGGACAAACATTACCCTGGGGTAAAATATGGGGTTCTTTCTTCTGCCATTGCCCGGAGCACCAAGCACTGATCACAGCTGAAGGCAGTGAGTGCTTAAGCAAGACATGCATGGGGTATGGTCCTCCGAGGACTGACCCTTCACTTATAGACTGAAAAACAAGCAGTTTCAGCAGTGCTCAAAAAAAACACTAACTGTTTATGCCCATGCATGATAATATTAAATATTAGCAAAAACAAAACAGCTCATCTGGTCATTACCAGCTTTGTGTGATGTCTGGCCACACTGCTAGGAGGAAGACCAGGACACTGATCATGAGGGAAAATGGGGTGATTGCTGTGTCCTGGCCCATGCTCCCGAAAGATCCTGCATCCTCTAGTTTGTGATTCCTCTGCACAAACTTGCCTGGTTGCTGAGAAGGAAAAAATACCAAACCACTAGGCTGGATGCCAGATACTGTCCCCTCACCCAGAGAATAAATAATGTTTTTTAATTAATGTCTTTAAATTAACCCCCTTAACATGCCCATTGCTGTGACATCACTCCTAAGTGACGCCCAGACCTAAATACGGCTGTAAACAGGAACCGTCCCCACGGGAGTCACACTGGCTATAAATACAGCAACAGAGGAGTGCTGAGCAGAGGACAGGCTGCAGTTTTCTGACAGCTAAGGATGGTGAGACAGCTCAGCTGGGCACTGTTGGCATGTGGTTACCACAGTGGGGAAACTGAGGCAGGAGTTGCTGGAGGTCTAGGGCTCACAGCTGAGCCCCCCAGCATTTCTTTGGGAGGGGAGTTGTGCTCTGCTGTAGCCAGAGGCCACTGGGGAGGGGGAAGCTGGTGGGAACAGGGATGGCAAATTTGGGGCTCAGCAAATGCAGCCCTGCTGGCCAATCCCAGCTTGGGCAATGATGCCGGCCCCTCTCCGCAGTGCCTGGCCCCATAGCCCTGCCCCGGGGAAGCGATGGCCACGGAGAAGCCAGTGACTCCCACTGAGGAGCAGCTGGAGATCCTGGAGTACAACTTCTGCAAGGTGAACAAGCATCCTGACCCCACCACGCTGTGCCTCATCGCGGCTGAGACCGGGCTCTCCGAGGAGCAGACTCTGGTGAGTGTGCACCCCTTGCATGCCTCTGTGCCCCACACACTTCTCCCACATCTCCTGCCTGTCCTGGCTCTGGCTCTGTATCGTACCCCCGGGGGTAATCTTCTATTACCCCACACACTTCCTACTGCACCCCCCCACACCCCTTATGCTCCCTCCACACCCCCTGCACCCCTCTGTGCCTCTGCATGCCTTACATGCACTCCTTACTTGCACTCCCTGCACCGCTTATACTCCTTACGGTACCTCATACTGCACCCACAAGTCTCCTCTGCACCTCTGCAACCCCCAGTATGCTCCTAACCCCACACTGCACCCACAGAGCTCTACCGCACCATTGCACCTCCCTGTACCCCACATCCTCCCTGCACCCCACATGTTCCTGCCCCTGCATCCCCAAAGACCTTTCCCCTGCAATTGCAGCCCCTTCATCCCACAGGCCTCCTGCACAGCAGCCCTTTGCTCTCCCCCACCCACACAGGAGCCCCATCCCCAGCCTGGGCTTGGTGACCAGGCTAGTGCTTCCCCCAGCCAGGACAAGGGCACACCCCAAGTGTCACTGGCTGGCTGTGGAGTCCTGAATATACAACCCCTGCATGCTGTCCTTTCCTTCCAACCCATTTCTAGTGATCTCTGGTGCCAAAACCACTGCTGGCTTTATGGTCTGAAGCAACTACAGTAATTTTAAAACAGATACAGGAAAGATGCAACTCCTGCAGGACATGCTTAGGCTGTGCACACTCCCCCTCACTGTTAGCTACTTCAGTGTCCCTAAGCCCAGACATCAGGCAGGTCTGTCAGCCTCTCTAGGAGACATAGAGGCCTCCAAATGTCCTTCGACAGAGACAATCTGCCACTGTCTGGGACTTCCACCTGGCCCTGTGCTCCATCTGGCTACTTGGAAGCTAACCTGGTCTTCAGAAGCAAACAGCTCCTTCCCAGTTCCTTCAGGTTGCAGTGCAGCCATTTTCGATGCAGATGTTTTATAAGCTACTTAAACCCACAGCAGCATTGATGGGTACAGAAAAGAAATCCAACACACTGAAAAGTTAGCAGCATTTTGCAGAGAGCTCCCAAGCCTGGCTCTCCCTGGGCAAAGCCAAAGGGATATGAGAGCCGAGCAGGCAATGCCAGCATTTAGCCTTTCCCGGAGAAGGATGTTGGTATAACATCCATTGCACTGATAGTCCTTGGCTGAAGTGGAAAAGGAGACCCCTCCTCTACTCTGCTTTGGTGAGAGGCAGGTACCACTGCTTGTTTGAGGCAGCAAGGAGACAGTACCCCTGAAATACCTTTTCCTTCTTAGAAATGGCACTGCTCAATTTTTTTTTTCCTAAAGCAAGTTGTAAACACAGGCCATATATGCCCATGACATCTCTGGAGATGTATTAAAATCTTCCCTTATAGCCATCTTTTTTCATGAATCCAGAGTGCTCCTAGAGATCTGGAGATGAAAGTCATGTTAGGGACAGGATTGGGACTGAGATGGGAAGCTGCAAAGTGCCTGCACTGCGTATGACACAGAGAATCATTGCTCCTGACACATGGAGTGCTTTATCAGCTAGATATAGCCACCATTTTAATTAAAAATTTAGTAAAAATGAGATGCAAAGAGGTATTGAGTCAACGGGAGATGATGGTTTAGGACAGGAAGTTAAATTTTGGGGAGGAGGCTCGGCAGGCAATCATCTGACTGGATGTGGTCCAGGGTAGTGCTAGCTCAAAAGCCACTTGTAGAGAGCACCATGGTTGTATCATTATGGACCACAATAGCTTCAAAAATAGCCATGAACAAATATAGCAACAAAGCAACTCACAGGCACATTCCCAAACAAAAGGCTGAGCTATGCTTCCGGCACACATGAGTTATATATCTCTTCTTAGGGAGGTAGTGTGGCTTTATCCAGCTGCATTTTATCTAACAGTTGAAACCGTGGTTGGTTGAAGTAGCATCAGCAGCTCTGGGAGCTGGCTTAGAGATGGTAAATTACTACAGAATAACGTAGTCATGCATATTGCTTGAAGACTAAGATAATTTTTAACCCATCTTTTAAATCTATTTTTTCTTAAATTTGTTGAGACCCACTGTGTTGTCCCTCTCATTCTTTCTGAAGCAGGTCAACTTTTGATTTCTGTAATTTTTGAACCTGCAGTAATTGTCTTACTGCTCCAGCCATTTAAGCAGACACCTTCCAGCAGCCCCTTAGCCAATCTCTTACTCTGTTTGCAAGAAAAACCTGGACCCACAGCAATGAAATGAAGACTCACACATGCTGTAAAGGTCTGAAGGGAGCTTGAAAGAGGTAACAAGACCGCTCGTGTCAGGAGCAGCTGCCCTGCTGCCTGGGAACAGCACAGTGCCTTGCTACAAGATAGCAGTACCATGAGTTTCCCTCACCTGGTCCCATGTGCTGCCCACATCTGCACCTTTAGTGAGGTTATTCAGAGGGTTGGCTCAACCTAGTCCACTCAATCTGGTTTTTCTTCTTCCAGAAATGGTTCAAGCAGCGCCTGGCAGAGTGGAGGAAGTCTGAAGGGCTGCCCTCAGAAAGCGGGTCTGTCAGGGACTAGAGGATGCCGCTCCAATCCCCATGCCTGCTGTAAATGATGGTGAAGCTCTACAGAGTGGGTTTCCTTGGGGTTCTTCTGTTGCAATAGGTTTTGAGATACAAAGTAATACCCTGCTATTTAACATGTTTTATTTAAAGTGTACATAACCAGGAAAAAAAAAAAATATATATATATATGTGTGTGTATACAGCTTCTGATGGCTGCATAACCTATGTGATTCCCATCCATTAACAGTGACTGCACAGGGCAAGACAGTCTCAAGCCCTTGTCCCTGGCTTGCAGAAAAGCCCTAATGAAAGTTTCAAACATAGAAGGGGGGGGGGGAAAATATTTTCCTTATGATCTCCAGAGGTAAAGTATGTATGCTAGCTTCAATATACAGATCATCCAGAGAGGAGGGCACCTGGACAACCAGATGGGTTGTTCAGGTGATCTCAATTAGCTCAAGTTGCCCAAGTCAGCTCAGGAAATAGGCAAACCAAGTGCCTACACCATAATCAGACCTGAGCCCCTTGACTGCATTTCTCACATTTCTGTTAAAGGTCACAAAAGGGAAGAAACTGGTCTTTCTTTTTTCCAATGCATTAATAAAAAAACAAAGTTTTTTGATGAGAGGAGCCGTGTTATGTCCCTGCTTGTGCTCCCTGCCCCAGTGGTAGAGACAGACTCCTTACTCTGTGAGGGCAACACTTCTCCAAGGCAGCCTCAGTGGACTATGTGGATTTTCCCTCTTGCCACAGGGATAGGCCACAGACATGGGCAAATTCCTCTTCTAGGGCATCCATGGGTCCATCCATGGCAGCCCACACAGCCCCACACACAACCCAAGCCCCGAGGTGGCAGAGGCTGGCAGTGCTGGGGTTCCCCTGCAGAGCGGTGCGGGGGCAGACCCTAGCCTCCATCAGGCCATTCTCAAGCCTGAGGGATGCATTTGCGCTGAGGCTCTTGCATAAAGCCCAAACTCTCATCTGTCCTGGCACAGGACAATGCATGGGCTAAAAAATAACCAGCTCTGTTGTCCAGTGACCTTACCTTGTTCAAAAGGTTTCAAAAAATCTTCTGTTCAGTGGATTATTGCATCAATTAGTGGATCTTCTGATGAATCCTCTTCTGGCTTGTGATCACCTGCCTCTACTTCTTTGTAAGGTTAACCTAGGGAAGATTAAGATACACTGGCACTGAAACTGCCAAAGCTTTCATTTATGGCTTTTGTCCCTTTCTGGAGAGCAGCTTGCCTCAGTATTTCCAGCCCATCACCAGTAGTTAGGCTGCCAGTGCAGAGCACGCCACATTCACAGGAAACAGATAAAAGCAATCTCCCTGTGCCATGTCCCACACAGGCTGTGTCGTTCCCCTGCAATCCAGCTGCCAAACTGATGCACCCACAGACCCAATTGGAGCTCAAGAGTTCATTCTGCAGAGTCTGGTACTGATACCTGTTTTCTTCTTAGTCTTTGCCATGTGCCCTCTCCCTTACTTTGCTTTTCTGAGTTAGGCCCCAAAAATCACAATGCAGAGCTCCATTACTTTGCCCAGGGTCACACAACTGAGTATCTGAACTGCACAAATTTAACCCATGAGACTTGTATCAAAGATGCATGCAAAGCAAAGCACTGGATCTGCCTGTTCTCCAGGCAGTTGAGAAAATGGGCCCCAAATCCAAGTCAACTCAACACATGTGCCACCCCAGCATTTCCAAAGTCTGTATTACAGATTTGCACCTTATCAAATTCAGCTCCGGATCTGGAATTTTGCAGCCTTTTGTGCTTCTACTTCTTGTCACAGGCACAAAACTTGGAGTGTTGCTAAGAAGATCTCTGAACTTTAGCAAAAATTTTGAAACCTAAGGTCAGAAATTGTGTTGCATCAACCTACTGCATGTCGTTGGCTTTGGTTTGCCAGACTTCCTTAAGTGAAATAACAGTTCCTGTGCTGGCTTCCCCTACAGCTATTTCATTCCTTCTTTAACTATTAGAGCAAAAAGATAAGAAAGGTGATAAATTCCAGATGTAACACATACTAGGGACAGAGGCTTCCCACATTAGGTCAAATTCTGCTCATTTTCCCTGATGACTATTTTGTTCTTAAGGAATGACCATTTTATTTAACTCCCCAGATAAGCCCAGTAAAAGTGGCTGCTCATAAAAAAAAGTGTTCCTGCTGGGTGCTGCCTCCATGCCGTGTTCAAGTAGTTTTTCCAGACACAGCCCAGCCGAAAGAGGGTGATGTTCCAAGGGCTGATGGAGGCAACTGGCACAAGCAGCAGACTGTTTTTCTGAGGGAGCTCAGCGCTTAATTGGACGAGCCAGGTCTTGGATCCGAGCAGAACAAGTTGCCTTCTTAGCAGTCTCCTTCACCGTGAATGCGTCTGGGTTGAATTGAGCTGAGTCCGTAGGAGGCCTGGGGGAATGATGACAGAGCTGGTCAATTCCAGCTGGAGTGGTACCAGCTCTCAAAGCTGACACACCTCCACCTGAGCCCTGCCCTTTCTTGTCAAGAGAGGCCAGAAGCAGTCATGCCTCTGCTGTTGTCACCAGGACACTAGTGAGGGGATGCCCCATCTCTCACTGAAGCTGTCACAGCCACTGCAGATAGGCACTCCCTCACCCTCTGTTAAACACCCTACCCAGCACTTCCTGCAGCCCAGGTTGAGGCCAGCTGCATCATGCTGGGCAGCATGAATGTGCTACTGTGCCATGTGTCTGCTGGTTGGTTTTTATAATTGCAATTAAGAATTAAGAAGTCCCAAACAGTAATTCCTACTAGAATTAGAAAGTTCCTATTTCTTCTCTTTTTATTCTCCTTCCACCTAAAAAATTATTTTTAAGCCACAATCCATGTAGCATTAGTACATCCAGTCATATAAATTCCATGCATTTTGGAAGTGGAAGAACAGTGGTTTAATCACACTGGCTAAACTCAGAACAACAAGGTCCTGTGGCCTGCACAAAATGGGCTGACAGCTGATCATTTCCCCATGGCAGGTAAGCAGTACCTACCTTTTGCGAGGCTGGGCCAGTTCCACGAGCCTTGGCGTGGCCACGGTGTGCTTTGCAGCCTTTGTCACTGGCCACTCAGCATCCCGCAGAGGCACATAATCAGGATGCAATCTTTTTGCCCTAGCCAGCTCCAGGGTCCGAGGGCTTGCAGTTGCCTTCTGAGCCAACTTGGAAACCTGTGGAAGAATGGGAAGGAAGGTCCTTACCAAGTGCTCTTGGCATTCAAGAGTGACCAGCCTGCAACTCAGTGTCCCCAGGTTCACAGCCACTGATCACATATAGACAGGGCACAATCCTGTCCACAGCTGTGTCTGGCACCAGACAAGCTGTGGAAGGAGAAATCACTGCCTGGCCAGTCCCATAACCTGCCCTCCAGCCTCCTCTTACTCCAACCCATCCCCCACACTGGAGATCCCATTTAGACACTTGTCCATCTCTCCCCATCCCAACAGCTGCAGGCTAGGCACAGGTCTGCCCTTCTCTGGGGATGTCTGCTGGGAGTCAGTTCATGCTCTGGATGGAGCACAAGTCCTGCTCTCTAGCCCAGAAAGCAGGTACATCAGCCTGACAGCACCACATCCAGGGCTGTCACAGAGCCACCAGTGACTGAGCACCCCTGCCCTCCCCTCTGCCCGGTGTCACTGCTGTGCATGGTCCTGGGTGACGCTGCCTTACCGGACGAATGACAGATTCAAGAAAGCTGCACTCATAGCAGCAGGTCATCTCCCTGACCCGGGGCTCTGCAAGACGCTGTAACCGCGAGGATGCTCTGGCCAAGGCCGCAGCATTTGTAACCCGTGTTGGCACCTGCGTGGGTTCAGAATGGGGGAGGGATGTGCAGACACAGAGCTTGACACAGCAGTCCACAGGGACACACTCCCTCCCCAAAGGGATGAACACCCAGCACCCTTCCTCTGCAGACATGAGCACAAGAAGGAGCACTCTTACTTTCCCAGCACCCGTTATTTTTCTTTCACCGGAACTATAAGGTAATTTTGGCATTATTGGGATTTGTATGTCTCAGCTAATATGGCTTTTTTCCTCAGATGTCACCCACTCATAGCCAGAAAGGAATGCCTGTAATGAGAGCCTGTGTAGCCAGGTAAAAACGCAGATAAATTTCTTCCAGTGATGTTTTTCATATTCATCTTCCTGGCTGAATCAATTTTCCTGCTAAGGAGAGATGCTCAGGATTCAGGGTAAAAGTGCTGACGCAGTTAACTGCATTCCTACAGCAAAAGTGATTACTGCTCTAGGATGGGACTTCTTCCCCTATTTTTCACAGTGTTACGGATGCCAAGGCCTGTTTCAGCACAGCCTCCCTTATTTCACAGACCAGAGTCTGCAGCCAGAAACCTAGCCTTTGCCATGGAAATTACTGTAATCTGAGATTGCCCCAAACCCTTTTACCCCTGCCAAAGCAATGACCCACCTCAGTGGAGCAAGTTCAGAAACACATCTCTAAATTAGGCTTCTGGTAAAACACTGTTAAAATATACACTGTTAAAATATACATAGTATTTACAGGCTCGTGCTCCCTATATACACAGACTGGAGTACAGCTGCCCAACTGCAAACACGACTGTACTCCCTAGGAGCTGAATAGGCCATTCTCATCGGGTTTCTCCACCTTCTGCTTTATCAGGGGATGCAACCCAGATGCCTCCCTTGTCTCTCCTGCTATTCTAGGCTGCTCCAGCCTGGCTGTTTTCTGTCCCTCAGCAGGGGGATTTTCAAGGACAGCATCTCACTCCGAAAAGTCAGTTTCTCTCAGTATCACAAACCCTAGCAGACAGTTTCTCCCCTCCAGAGCACACACTGGGCACATCCAGGGGAATGATACAGGGTGTAAAACTCAGGACAGTTTGCTGTATCACTGTCCCCTCCAAATCTCACTCAATCATCTCCTCACCTCTCTGGCCAGCAAGAACTCTGGATGCAGCACCTTTGGCTGGGCAAGCTCCATGATCCGTGGGGAGGCTTTATAACTCCGTGCAGCTGGTGACACAGGCCACTCGGGGGACTGGCGAGGTCTGGAAGCAGAGAGTCATGGCACTCACAGATATTCTCCCGCATGGGTTAAACCAGGCTGCATTTGGGACATTTGAGCCTCATGTTTACCGCAGTAGAAGGCAACTTTGTCTTGTGGCCATTTCCAGTGCAGAACCCACTCATCCCATGAGAGAATCCAGAGGTCCTAATCCAGCAGAGTCCCTGCTCTGCATTTTGCCCGCTGTTACACCCATCCTCTGTTCCTGTATTTATTACTTTGAAGCTACACCAATGCTACAAGACCCAAGGGCCTACCTATAGCACCCTACGGGCTTTCTGGCCTCTCACCTTTGCCGCAGGTAAGCAGCGGAGCATTTTTTAGGTTCAGACAACTTCAGCAGCCGATCAGAAGGGAAGGCAAAATCCACTATCAGGGGACGCTCCCAGATTGTTGATTCCCGTCCACAGCTGTACAAGAAGAGGGGTCTTGAGGAACAACAACACAGAAGAATTAGTAAAAAGTAACTGACAGAGAATGTGATCCTGGCAGATGGTATTCTAAGTCTAGTTAAGCATCCATGCCTTCTGCATGTACAAAATTGGCACCAGTACACATGGACAAGCCATGAACAAATGGGAATTTGTTCTTGAAATTTCCTGATTTTAAAGGTATATGCTGTTTGCACATGCAAAGTCATCTTTTAAGCACCCTCAATGCATTGCTTTTGAAGTCTAGGCCTTTCTCTGAACTATTTCAAGAAGCCACTTCACAACACACATCTGGCAGCATCTCTGTTGTTCAGCTCTGTCAATTTAGAAATCTTTCTGTTGCAATGGCTTAATAGCACCTTGTGCTCTTGCAGCTCCTTTCACCTTGGGATCTCCCCAGGCTTGCCTAGTGCATGCTCATCCAACTTTCTGTCAGCCATAACTCTTGGAATATGCCTGTCATCACCAGAGTAGAGGTGAGTAGAAAAACAGGAACGGCTGTCAGATGGACACTGCTAGTCAGAGGTAGAGGTTCTCAGGGGGATGAGAGCTCTTGAACTGATGACAGTAGCAGAGGAGAGAAAAATACAGACACACGTGTCTTGACATCCCTCCAGGTAGAGGAAAAAACAGAGTGCAACAGTGTTTCATCTCCATTCTCATTGCTAGGACTTCTTACAGACTAGCAACCACCACCCTGCCTCCAAAAGAGCTTCATCCCCTCCAACAGAGCTACAGATGAATTGCTGCAAGGAATGGAGCATCACCCACCGCCACTGAAGTTTACATTTTTTACATCATTTTTCACTCCTATTCCCAAACATGGACTAGTTTTTCACCACGTAGTGAAAGCAGAGGTTTAACTTAAGGCAAGAGACCTTTCCAACCAGCAGGATGCTGCAAGATTTATCTGTTCATAGAATTTCCTAACTTTTATTCTCAAGATTTGGGCCAGGCTCCAAAAGGATGCAAGAGATCACTAATTGTGTCCAGGTGCCTGGCTGGGCTGCATCAGCCCCAGTATGGACAGGGAACACTCTAGGGACAGACAGTCCCTCTGTATGCACAGGTCTGACACACACATGCTTCCATCAAGGCATACATGCACACATCTCTGCTTCCAAGCCAAGGCAGAGTTATCTGGATTTTTTGTTACAGCGGAGGAACATGCTCCCATGTGCTTGAAGACTGACATCAAGGCAAGGCTGCTCCAAACCCAGAGCCTTAAGCAGACCAGCAACCACCACATGTTGCAGAAGCCAGGAAGAAGGGTATGAGGAAATAAAAGGGCACCAAAACTTAGCACCCCCCAATTCCTCCTCATTTTGGAAGTCAAGCACTCAGGGTAACTACACTCCTATGGCACTTTCTTCCCTGCTACAGACAGCCCCTGTTCCAAGGACCAGTACAGCCTGGTGGGTCACAGTGGCATGGAGCTCCCTGGGGGGCAACAGTAGCAGGAGACAAGATGGCATCTCCCCTTTCCCTGGGAGCCAGCATGTCACCCTGATTAGAGGAGACCCTCTGAGCTGCCTCCTTCCCTAGGACATGTTACCACATCACTGACCTGCACTGGTGCTTGCCAAAATCTTTCTTGGGCTTGGCCAGTGCCACTGTTCTTGGGGATGGTCGAGCTGTAAAAGCATCACACGAGAGGGTCCAGATCATCTCTTGGTTTCCCCACACAAGCCTAGCAAGAACAGCAAGGGTGTGAAATTTCAGAAACAATGCACAAGTGTGAAATATGCTTGCTGGGGTTATCATGCCCTGCCTAGGATGGGACACCCACACACAGAGTCCCTACAGCTCCCCACAGCTGTAAAGTGCCACTGCCATCCTCTGAGCATTCACCTTCTCTGGCACAGAATTTCCTAACACTGTCCAGGTGTTGTTGACAACTCAAAAAGAAAAGAGCCTTCAAGTGATGAATTTGGTTGTACAGTTACTAGTTGATACGCAGAAAGGGTCGTTTCATTAGATCTCTGAAACCCCTGGGGGAGTTTCATGATTGCATTTTTCTTGCCTCACCATTACCACCTAACTATACCACAGGTATGACAGTAAAAATAATAATAATAATGTTATGGTCAGGGTGTGCCACGGAAAGTGGGTGAGGTTTTGCAGCACGTTAGTGGTTATTCTCCTGTGCCCAGGGCAAATTTGGAGTTGTTCATCCCCCACTGAGAGACCATGGTGGAAGAAGGTACCAGGGTATTCAGGACAGGGAACAGCAGGACAGTGGGTTTGTGGAACCTTTTTCGAGTAGAGACACCCACCCAGACCATGGAGAAGGGACGTTATTAAGAGATTGTTGCCCTAGCTTGTCAAGCCATAGCTTGACCACATAATGCAAACGGCAACTCTGTTCCTAAAGCTGGACTGTGTCCTCCAGGATATAGCAGCCTGCAGCTCCAGTGAGGTCCAGCCTCCTCACACCACGACACCATCCTACCCAGCAACACCTCAGCGGGGCAGCTCAGATGGGGCAGCAAAGGCAAGACTTGGGTCAAGCCCAGCTTTTGCACCAAAACCAAGAAAGAGCAAATTGAAGAGTCCCTCATGCAATGAACATCTCAGTCTACTTTTCTGGAGTCACTTGTGCTCTTGAGAAGCAAACAACAGCAAAACAAAAGCAAAGGGTCTGCACCAGCTGAAGCCCCATCAGTCCCCAGCCCTTGAGCCAGATCTGTCTGGACATAGCCTTACTTGGGATCATGTGCACAAGCTGCTTCCCTGGGTTCTGCAAGTTCCCGTATCCTGTCAAAACTGCAGAAAAGGACAAATCTGCCATTAAACATACAGTTAAACAAAGCATAAAGAAGTTACTACTGTACTCAGAGCCATAAAACACACTCTTGAACCCCCATGCTTTTGCCTCCATCGCTTATGAGTGTGTATAAGGGATCTCCCTCCAAGTAACTTTCCATCCATTTAATGTGGTGAACTCACCAGGCCATGGATTTCTGTGCTCTCTCTTGGATTGCAGAGTCACAAATTTGCAATTCTGCCCTGACTGCAGGGTCCCTTTGGGACATGGCAGAGAGAAGGGGAAGTTACTTTTCTAATTAATAAACTGCCATGCAATCCCAGCACATAGGAGATGGATAATCTCCCAGCCTAAAGGAGCCAAAATGAACAGAAACACCAGTTATCAACAATCTTGTGGTTTACTAAAAGGCACCATGGAGACAGCACTGTTCCCACATGGTTTTAGGAGCACAAGTAAAGACATATTTTTTTATTTATAATTTTCTTTCAGTTCATTTAGCACAGAGGGTTTAGATGCTATAGAGACACAGGAATATACATGGTCTATGCCCTAGAAGCAGCATGAAAAGTTTTTACTGAATATTCATCAGACCAAAACCTTTCAGGAAGATCAGATATCGCTGTCTGCTTCTGATGCTCAAGTGTCCCAGGCCTAAAATCCCAGTGGCTGGGAAGTGCTTGTTTTGTGAGCCTGGGTACAAAGAGAAGGACGAGATGACACCAGTGCCACAAGTACGTTGCAGAACTTGCTGGTGTCACAGACCAAGCCCACACCCACCCGCTGGGGCTGCAGGTGCCTGTCCCCTGCCAGTTGGGGAGCAGTCACAGGATGCAGGCAGCTGTGGAAGTGCCCCACCATGGAAAAAGCACAGAAGATGAAAGCCTGGGGCATTGTTTCTCTGCTTAGTATCACTCGACAATAAGGCAGTATAGCCCTAGAGAGGAGCAGGAACACCAGTAGAGATGTTTGCTGACAGAAAAAAAGTCTGTGCTTTGGGGACACATCTGTGGTTTCTCTGATGGGGCTGATACTTCTAGAGAGACACCAAGCTCTAGCAAACACTTGCCAGAGAGCTCAGCTCCACAGAGACTCTAGCAATGGCAGGCTGCTGTTAGAGCGTCCTCGCCACACGCTCCCTGCGAGATGCCTACTGATTTACCTCCCCGTCATGCCTAACCACCGGTCACAACACTGCACAGTTCCCACTGAGATCCCACACAGGGAACTGCCTGGGAGACTTTGGCCCCCTGCCACCAGTTCAAGATGGAACACAATCTGGAAGGCAGCTATCATTTCAGGAGCCAAAACCAAATTTCAGCTGTTCATTCCCAAGCACCTCCCCAGAGGCTTTTCCTTGCAAAGGGGCAAAGAGGTGAAGGATAACCATGCAGAAGCGTGTCCCCCAGCCTAGCTGCATTGCAGAGCTAGAACCATCCTTCAGACAGGCTCATCCTGCAACAGATCCCCCACATCGCCACTGCCAAACCCAGCACAAAGGGCATATGGCCCTAGTGCTCCACATGGCTGGCTTGGACACTGCTGCACAAAGCTTGCACTCCCTTGACCCAGCCAAGGGACAAGTGACATGTATGTCCAAATCAGGTCCCTCAACTCATTTGACAATTGTTTTTTGATTTTTTTCCAATTACAAAAAAAAAGATTACTTTCTACTCTTTTTATCATGGCAAAAGCTCTGGACAGACAGGCATCCCCACACAGGATGCACTTGCAGCAGCTCTGCAATTTAAGAGTTAACCTACCTCATTGACAAGGGGACAGCCTTTGCCATTTGGCCCCTCTCATGCTTCCCAGCAGGGAAAATGAGGCCTTGGTGCAGCCATAGAAACACCTCCTCTCTGCTGCCTGAGCTCAAACAGACACACTGCTTAAGGGGGATCAACTCCCTCTGAGATCAATTCCTGGTAAAGCAAAGGGTCACAGCTTCTGTTTTAAAGGGGCAGGACAGTCAGATATTGTTTGTCATGAGAAGCAGAGGAAGGGGAAAACCAGGCATCATTTCCTCTGTATGTTTATCAGTGTCATCAACGCAGTGCTCTGCGTAAATCCCCAGCTGAACTCTCCCCAAGAGATGTGGGGCACAGCCTGGACACTGAGCCAAGAGGTTGGGGCTGGGTTTCTTACCTGTCGCGTGAGCGTGCAGACAAGTAACAAGAAACTGCAAAGACAAGAAGAGGTGAATTTAAAAGCTTGGTAACATCTGCAGCCTGGGCTGCCTGCTCCTCAGTGTGAAATAAACTCAAAGTAGATGATGTTTCTGCGTCTCCTTAGGATACAGTTGCTTGGCAGCTATTTGTAGTGTTTTTCCCTGGTACCTTCCTGGTGCAGCTGCATAGTAACATGCTTGTACATGAAGTGTTCCTCTCTGGTGGCTGCTCTTCACCCAGCAGTGCTGGCAGCCCCCGAGGCCGCAGGACAGAGCACCCCCAGCACCACATCCCCTCACCAGTATCCTCCTCCTGGGAGCACCAGCAGCCACTGTCAACCTGTAGGCTCCCACTCAGCTCAGCAGAGCTACCCCTTACCATTAGCTTCAATAACTTCAAGGGGACATCTTGAGAGCCTCAGGGGAGTAGCGGCTGTATTAAACTGGGACTTTGTAGCAGTACAAGACAAGCTGCCATGTTTTAAAGTGGGGGGCCAGAAAGCCATAAACTTGGTGACACCGGCACAGTGGGGAAACTAGACACGGACGCTGGGGAGCCACGTGCCCCAGTGTCAGCAGCAGTCAGGCCACGGGCATCACTTTCCCCAGCAGGTGCTCGGAGCTGTGGCGCCAGGGGCCTGCTGGCGCCAGCCAGCCACACCACACACAGGAGCCCTCCCATGGCAGAGCCCCCGAGCCCCAGTGGGGTGAGGGGCCAGGGCGCAGGGCAGCCACCACCACCACAAGAGGGGTGGCCCCCACCAACAGCCACAGCCCCCGTTACCCATGACCAGCCTCTGCCACCTCGTCCACCCACCAGTGCATGGCCTGACAGCCACCATGGCGCATGCTCCCGTTGCCACAGCAACAGTGCAGCCACAGCCCCACCGGTTCCACAGCAGTGGAATCTGGCATTCAGTTCACCAGTGGGCCCCAGGGAGCTAGTCCTTGGCCACCAGCAGAGGCCAGGGCCCACAAGCAGGGCAGTGCGTGCAGGTGCTGGGCACCCGGCCCTCACAGATGGGTGAACAGACCCGTTTCAAAGGTAGCTGTCCAGGAAAGGCCTCGGGGTCTCCTGCAGCACTCCTTGTTTGGGTAAATGAAGCCCAGACCACTGGTTAGGGTAAAATTTTCTGCTTTATGAATCTGTTCCAAGGGACAAAACTGTAAAACCCTCATACAGTAAATGCACTTGCAAAACAGGTCCTTTACAGAACTGCTCCCGGAGTGTAAGTACAAGGACACTGGGAGAGTGACACTCCTCAGCAACTCATCTGCCTCACCTGCTGTGTTAACAGAAATCACTTTCAAACAACAACAGGCTTTTCACATGTAAAACTGCTTGCTCGAGGACAACCTGTACTAAACCAAAATAAGCAGCTCAGCCTGATCGAGGAGTCTCCCACTTTCTGTGCCAATTTAACTTAAATGCTTCCAGTCACTACCTTAAATTACACTGTTTTGTTTTTTCCCTGTAGGCAAAGAAACACTTAGCGTCTTACTGCTTTCATTTTCTCATTCTTACCCACTAAAGAAGCAGTAACCAACCCAATTTGCCACTCCCTTAAAAAACAGCTCCAATACAGCAACAACAAAAATTGTCACTGTCAAAAATGCTAGTTGCAGCACTTTAAATTTCTGACACTGTCAAGAAGTGAGGTCTCATTTTTAACAAAACAACATTGCTAACAGGGTTCTGTAAATCATGTGAAGTAAACATATTTCAATTTGAGCCCGAGACATCAAGCCAGGTTAAATTTCCTGGATACAACTTTGTTCCACTGAAGTCAATGCTTGATTTCCACCTGGCAAGAAGCCATCTCAGACCATCTAAGTTATCTATCCCCTTAACTGCTGTCCTAATCTTCACCTACAAATACGTTAAAAATAGATTACTTTTCAGACGTATTTTCAAACCACTATAAATTAGATTTTCTTACCAACTAGACATCATTTTCAGAGGAATTTCACACCCACAAGGAAAAAATATCTGTACATTTCAGTCACCACATGGCAAACTGACCATACACTAACACCTCATCTCCCGCAGCTCAAATATCACACTGTAGGAAGAGATGTCACTGTGTTTCCAAAACCAGCTGTGCTATCAGCTCCTTGGCATCCTTCATGCTGGAGGAGATCTCGGAGCCATCTTCTGCGACGTGGGTACCGATCAAGAACATCTTTCTCTCATCCCCAATCTCAGAGAGTGCCAGAGCATCATGAATATCGGTGATGCAATATGCACCTTCAAGGTCCTGATACGCAAAAACAAAACAACCCTGTTAGTTGCATGAGATGGCAGCACCATTCCCGCTTTGAGCCACTGCCTTTGTCCAGGGAGGGGAAGGTTCTCAAAGGCTTCAGGGGGCACCATTCTTATCTACCTTCTATGAGATCAAGTTCCCATGCCCTAAAATGCTTGGGGAAAAAAAACAATGTTTATCTTTAACCTAATTTCTTTCCAAATAAATAAGGGTACATTTCTGTTTCTAGTAATACCAGTGTTTCTGATAATGTAAGACTACCTATATGAGGCAGACAAAAGTCTTGCTGGCCCAAGGTACTGGGCACCCAGCACAGAGTTACAAGAACGGGGCAAATGTGTAAGTCACGTCCTATGTACCTTCTCAGCCACCAGCATTTCTGACTCCAGGACCTAGAGAATCAGTAGTAGCATTTGTGTTTGATGAAGCCAAAGCCTGCACTTGCCTTCAAGAGTAACATGAAGGACTACTAGTAACATGCTGAAGTTACTAGAAATTTAGGGGGTAACAACGTAAAGCAAATCAAGCACACAGCCCTCATAAAAGAAAACCTGGGCTTAAAACCCATGGGCTGTTCTGTCATCTGACTGTATCATAGGCACAATTCTATTCCAGGTACAGCACTAGTCATTGGCACTTTCACAAAGATCTTAGGAGAAAGCACTGCCTTGTGGGGAAAGCTGCTCTTTCAGCAGTAGCCTGAGGAGCAACAACCAATCTGAAGGCAGTGCCTCACTTTTCAGCTTCTGCGAGGTAAAGTGATACTTCTAGACAGATGTTCAGAACAGAAACCTAATCCCAAGTCTGACTGTAGTCTCTCCCTTGCAGCTCCCAAATCTTGCAACTCTAGAGCACTTTCCACCATTATTTCCACCCGTAGGTCTGACTACACCATCTTCAAGCACAGGACCTGCATCTTGCAGATCAAAAACTCAACCTCAGATTATTTTCTTTTGCGGTCAACAGGTGTCCCAGAAAGACCTCCAGCTCCCAGTCATGCAGCCTCCTTAAAGGCAAGAAACCTCCTTTGAAAGGCTTTGTTGCTGTTTTCAGAGCTGCTGCCAGCCCAAGCTCAGCTAGCAGCAGGGAATCCTTACCTGCTTGTTGGCCAGAACCACCACCGGCAGGGTGGAGTTATTCTGGATCAGTTGATGAAGCAGCTGTTTCGCCACAGGCAGTCGGGCATGATCAGCCGAGTCCACAACATAGATTAGCAACAGCACTTTGGGCAAGTACATCTTCCAGTATGAACGCAGAGATTCACTGCCCCCGACTGGAAGAGAAGAAGGCAGCACAGGATTCACCAAGTAATCCCAGCAGCGCTGCTCCCAGAGATGTGGACAGCAGGCCCTGGGCTGAAAACCCAAGGTATTTGGGTTACCAAAAGCTCAAAGTATTTGGGCTACTGTGTATGAGACTGAAAATAGCTTTATTTTCTCCAGTCAAGTCTCATGTAGGCATATGTGCATACTCTGAGGAAAAAAAAAAACAAAAACCACTTTCCATTTTAAACTCTTATTTTGAGAGGATTCTGGGTTCAGTTTCTTTATGCTTGCTTTCTGCCTTGTTGTTCTTGCACTCAAGCAAATCAGAAGAGTAGAAAAAGGTTCAGTGTCCATAAAAACCATGTGAGAAAGTCCCCATATAACCTATCTCCACATGTCCATCTCATCTTAGGACCAAGCAGGCCTACAACTTCCAAAGAAGTAATTCAGCTCTGAGATGGAGCTTATCAGATTTGTATGACACTAAGGACTAGGTCAAAACTCCCACAGCTATTCTGTCAATAACCAGAGATGCTTAGAAAGCGAGAAAAATCAAGCCCCAGCAGACTCTTCAGGCAATCCTTGGGAGAAAGCTTTGTACAGGATACATTTCTACCTGAGCTCTTCTCTTCTGGATACATAGGAAAACTGTCCATCTTCAAAACCAGGCCTTATAACAATTCTGTGGTGAAACCATATGCACAGGTTGCTTGAGACTTGTTCCCATGAGGGGACAAAAAGAGTCTGGCAGTTTGCTGAGTTTAATAGGAGCAGGAATAGCTAACAGCATATTAAGTATTTCAGATGTGTTTTCAGTTCTCCAGGTCTTCTAGGTACACTGCAGAACCACTTGCTCAAGAGTACTGAGGTGCTCAAAAGGCACATCTCCCAAAAGTAGCAAATTTTCAAAGCAATACATTTGGGGTTCCCTATAACTGAAGAGAAGCTCTTTTCAAAACTGACTTAATAGTCAGCCATCTTTTATGACCTCAGTGATTTTGTTCTGTTCCAAAGCAATTTTGCTTTCACTTAAGTCAAAATGATTCAGTAGTTTCAAGAACGTAGAAAGGGAAGCAACATTTCCTGCTAGGGTGTGCCTGACTTCAAGAGCCCCAACGCATCTGCTGGCAGAACTGCAAGTCTGCCACCGTGGAAAGGAGCCAAAGGGCTGTGACTGACACATCACCTTGGGACAGATGCTTCTGATTCTGTACTGTGACGCTGTGGGGGCTCACCACCGTTCCCTCTGTTAAGTGCATTCATGCATAGCATAACCCAGGGGTCAGCAACCTCACATAGAACATTTTTTCTCAAACCAGTAGGAACTCAGCAGAAGCCAGGAGCTCCTATCCTTTGCAGAGGCAAGATATCACCCACTTAACTATATGATGGTACTAAGAAAAAGAAGTTTCCTATCTAAGCCCGAAAAAAAACAATTTTTTTTTTTTTACTGATCGTCTTGTGCTACGTGATCAGCATAGGCTGCTAACCCCTGGACTAGGCGATGGTACAGACTGGGTAAGTAACCAGATTACAGAGCCATGCACGGATTTACCTGGCTGAAACTGGCCTGAGACATTTCATTTCCCATGGGTCAGATCACAGCCATCACATCTCAGTCACTACCAACCTGGACCAGAGAGGGAAGGATGACTCAGAAACAGTAGGTTCTGCTGTGGGCTGCACAGTACTGGGCCCAGGCCATCCCCAGGCAGGAGCAAAGATACTGTGGGTTTCTCTGCACTCAGCTACACAAAGCAACCCCCAGCAGGAGACACAGGTGTCTTGTACCCATTAGTAGAGGAGCACAGACTACAAGCATCTCTGGGCAGATGATTTCCCTAAGACACCACAGAGACTCTTATGGTGGTAGGACTGGGAATTAAATCCTGCCTTAGCAGCCCCATCCTCACCTCCCAAAGACTTAGCTGGGAACAGCACAATTGATTTAGGCCTGCTGACAAAGGTAGGGAGGCCTCTGTGGGCTAGCTGCCAGTCTAGCACTGGTACAACTGCCAGTCGAGCACTGGTACAGCACAGTGCAGAAGCAGCAGGAAGTGAAGGGCAGCTTCTGCCTCCACAGAAGGCAGGCACCAATGAGGCGAGGATGTCAGACCCTCTGCACCAGGGACTGACCTGATTGCAGGACCTCTACGTTCCCCATCAGATAGCTGCACCTAGAACAGCTGTGACACCCAAAAAGCATCACAGGAGATGCATTCTGCAGGCAGTCAATACCCAAAATTCAGTGCTAAGGACAACACAGAAGTTTAGCAAACACCTACATTCAAAAGACATTGAAGACTGGAAAACACCACTTATGAGACTTTTGAACAAAAAGGATACAAAGCTTTTCTCATCCTCCTCTGTTCTTTCACCTTATCACTTACTCCTTTTCTGCTCTTATCCTTTGCCAGGCATAAGCACCAAGAAGCAGCTGTACAACACACAAGTGCTACAAGGCTTACTAGGGACACCTTTGCTTTGGGCTGATTTCACATAATCAGGCTTGTTACCATTCTTTCTCTGGGAGAACTCAGGGCTGAACGAACACAGATCCCTTCTAACACCAGTGTTATCATCCCGTTCAAGAAGCAGGGTGGGAAATCAGGATCCCCGAGGAGAAAATAATCACAACTTCATGGTATCAGTGCGGTCACTAGAGAATATGAAGGGTTTAAAATACAGTCCTGATCCCTAAGACATAGGATAGGAACTTATTTTATGTTCTGTACTAAAACAGGTTCACTCACTCTCCAGGAACTCCATGTGGGACTCTTCAGTGTTGATGTAGACAGCATTGAAGCCCTCAGTGGGAGCCACGCTGTGCTTGACGTGGTTAGTTGCCAGGGAGTGGAGAACGCTGGTCTTCCCAGCCCCATCCAGGCCCAGCACCAGTATCTGCTTGCTGTGTCCTTTTCCCTGCAAGGCGAGGGCAGCTCGCTTAGCCAGGCAGCCGGGGCATATGGGAAGCTTAGCGGGGCTGGGGGAGAAACGGAAGCGTGACAAGGGCTCGGGAGGGAACGGCAAAAGCTACTTCAGGGAGAAGAGGGAGAAGATGCCAGTTGGGCTCCTGGCCGCAGCGAGGGCGAGGCGATGGGAGGCCGGAGACCAGACGCAGCTGGGGAGAAAAGCCGAGAGAGCGGCCCCGGCCCGCACGCCCCGCCCGACCCAAGGCCTCGCCGTCCGGCC